TACTGCGCCGGGCGCAATATGAATTGCGCCGGGCGTGTCTTGAAGACAGAGGGCAATTGGAAGGCCATGCGCCGGGCACGAAGACTTATGCGTCGGGCGCATGAACCCTAATTTGTCTCCCCAAGCTCGTATTTGAAGGCATTTTCGGGGACTTCTCCCCCATTCACACATTGGGCGCCTCCAGGAGCTGCGGAAGGGATTCCCAGGGCTTGGGATCGTCCGTGTGCGGATCTTTCCTTCGGTTCTTCACTTCCTCTTCCATCTCTATTTTGTATTTGCCCTCATTTTTGTGAGTGGTTTCACCCAATTTTTGTGGGGTTAGATGTAACCAACGTACTCTATTGTAATCTTTACGGTTTTAATGATATATATACATGTTGTTTTATTCTTTGTTGTGTTTGTTTCTATTCTTAATGCTTGCTTTGGATTGATCACCCTTTGCATGATTTAAGGTTCCATGGGTATTGGAAAATAACCTTTGAAACTAGTTCTGAAACATATGCCTAGTGGTGATTGTATCTAGGGATAGAGCTTGACCCATTAGTAGTCTTAAACCCTAGCCCGTAATGCGGGTGTAGATATTGGGTACTCAAGGGATTGATATTCAATATCCGCACCTAGGCTCTTTCTCTAAGGGATTAGGTTTGAGTAAACTCTTGGGTTGACTAAGCAATGAATTCAACAAGAGATTAAGGATACATTAGTGTTACGTTTGGTGAAATCTGACCCCCACAACCTCACAATACCACAATACCATTCCTTACCTTTTCCACTCACAAAACAATATTTATTTACAGCTTTCATTCCAATAGTCACAACTTTGAATTCACTGCACAAACTATGAAATTGGAATTATTCTTTAGTCACGAATAGTCAATAAATGCTTATATTACCTTCTAATCCCTGTGGATACGATATTTTTACTACTTGAACGGCCGGTATACTTGCCGTGTTTGAGACCGTTGATTGAATCAAACTGATTTACAATTATAACAAAAGTACTTCAACGGAATTCTCAACAAGTTTTTGACCAGAACAAATGTTGCAATCTGTTTTCCTCATCAACAGTTTGACCAACATACATTAAAGGATCACTGCATTTTAAACCATTCAAAAATTCCAGTGCACATTTTGAATCCAAACCTTGCAACCTTCTTTGCCTTCCAATTTGATTGTATATGTCCTTTTTACAAAAAGAAAGTCTCTCATACCCTCCAGGGTGATCTGCAAGTGACCCATAAACTTGAGGAGTACTTATGCCAACTTTTCTCATTTTATTCAACTGCATTATATCTAACTCACTCATATCTCTATGAGAAGCTAACATAAATCTGACCCCCACAACCTCACAATACCACAATACCATTCCTTACCTTTTCCACTCACAAAACAATATTTATTTACAGCTTTCATTCCAATAGTCACAACTTTGAATTCACTGCACAAACTATGAAATTGGAATTATTCTTTAGTCACGAATAGTCAATAAATGCTTATATTACCTTCTAATCCCTGTGGATACGATATTTTTACTACTTGAACGGCTGGTATACTTGCCGTGTTTGAGACCGTTGATTGAATCAAACTGATTTACAATTATAACAAAAGTACTTCAACGGAATTCTCAACAAGTTTTTGACCAGAACAAATGTTGCAATCTGTTTTCCTCATCAACAGTTTGACCAACATACATTAAAGGATCACTGCATTTTAAACCATTCAAAAATTCCAGTGCACATTTTGAATCCAAACCTTGCAACCTTCTTTGCCTTCCAATTTGATTGTATATGTCCTTTTTACAAAAAGAAAGTCTCTCATACCCTCCAGGGTGATCTGCAAGTGACCCATAAACTTGAGGAGTACTTATGCCAACTTTTCTCATTTTATTCAACTGCATTATATCTAACTCACTCATATCTCTATGAGAAGCTAACATTCTACAATACTTATCTTCCAAAAAACTATGGTTGTGGTCATCCACAAAATATGTAATGTACCATAGTCCACATCTGCTATCAATATGCACTCTTAGTTTTGCTTCACATCCGCACCTTGTCTCCGGTGTTTGCTTTCGCTTTCGATTCTGTATGTTCAAACCACGGTTATCTCTAAATCCTTCCTTGAAACAAACAAAGGTTTGTTGTAATTTTTCCCCCTTAATATTTCTCAAAATCTTGCTCTTTCTTGCGGCAAATCCATTAACTTTTGCAAACCAGTAATAAAATAAATAAGCCATCTCAACACTTACAAATTGAACATTCCTAAGCTCATGGGGACTTAAATGCAAATCTAAATTAAAAATATCATCCAAAGTAGAAACTATCACCCCGTTTTCACTGTCAAAAACCTCAAATCTTCCTTCATTAACAACATTTTCCACTTCTTCATCACAAATTTCCTGTAAATCAATAACCAAATTCTCATCTTCCTCATTCTCATTTATATTATCTTCTCCTTCACTTATATATTCAATATCCACACCTAGGCTCTTGCTCTAAGGGATTAGGTTTGAGTAAACTATTGGGTTGACTAAGCAATGAATTCAACAAGAGATTAAGGATACATTAGTGTTACGTTTGGTGAAATCTGACCCCCACAACCTCACAATACCACAATACCATTCCTTACCTTTTCCACTCACAAAACAATATTTATTTACAGCTTTCATTCCAATAGTCAAAAATATGTAATGTACCATAGTCCACATCTGCTATCAATATGCACTCTTAGTTTTGCTTCACATCCGCACCTTGTCTCCGGTGTTTGCTTTCGCTTTCGATTCTGTATGTTCAAACCACGGTTATCTCTAAATCCTTCCTTGAAACAAACAAAGGTTTGTTGTAATTTTTCCCCCTTAATATTTCTCAAAATCTTGCTCTTTCTTGCGGCAAATCCATTAACTTTTGCAAACCAGTAATAAAATAAATAAGCCATCTCAACACTTACAAATTGAACATTCCTAAGCTCATGGGGACTTAAATGCAAATCTAAATTAAAAATATCATCCAAAGTAGAAACTATCACCCCGTTTTCACTGTCAAAAACCTCAAATCTTCCTTCATTAACAACATTTTCCACTTCTTCATCACAAATTTCCTGTAAATCAATAACCAAATTCTCATCTTCCTCATTCTCATTTATATTATCTTCTCCTTCACTTATTCCTTCAAAATTAAACACTCCTTCATTTATGCCTTCAAAATTATCTACTCCTTCATTTATGCTTTCACAATTATCTACTGCTACTGCCACCTAAAAAGTTTTAATCCTCAATTAAACCTTTTCAGAACATCAGAAAATTAAAAACAATATCAACTGTCATCATCACACTTATCACACACATGACACAACGCAATATTAAAGGATACAACCCTAAACATGACACAAATGTCACTTACCTCTATACTTGAATTCTCAAACTCCATTCTACTTTCACGTTTAATAACAATAAGTCAATCTATGAACATCAAAACACTTCCGTAGCAGTTAATCTCTCTATTAACTGTACACACGAGAAACAGATGTATCAACAAAAATCCACATACATATAAAATCAAATGCAAAATAAACAAAAAACGTTAACCTCCAAAACGGATTCTTTTGTACGCCACACTTTAGGTTTCAACAATAAAAAAAATCGATTCGTCACCTCTTAAACCTAACAAATCTTCGCACCGGTTGCGGAGTACCACCAACAACAACGGACGGGCCGCCGGAGGCCCACTTCGAACAGATCCACAAAAGGACCACGCCGCCAATCGCACCTCGTAATCGGAACTGCCACAACCAAAACACCACACCCTAATAAACCTTAAAACACGGACAAATAAAAATTTACAAGGACTACTTTGCAATATATTACATCTTACTCATTATATTATAATCTGAACCCTTCAATATTCTAATATTATATCTACGGTCATCATAAACCTTACACATGCAGCACGGATGGACCACTTCTCGAACTTCCCTATCAGAGACTTCACCCATTTTAACATCTCAGAAATCCATCGTGTAAACATCATGTCTTCCTTGTAATAAGATGCGTACATTACCGAAATGTGTTTGGATAATTCCCTGCTATAAAATGTGCAATATTAGTACAATAAGTGATCTATTAACTACATTGAGTTACATAACATGCACCTTACCACACTGAATTGGGCTTGTACAACTCTACACAAAATGCTACAAACATTAATTTACCACAAGGAAGCCAAATTCGATGTAGTAAAATACATCTTATGTAATTTTGTGTGGTCAATAAATCATTTCCTGCACCAAATATTGTACACTTTCTGTTGCAGCTCCACATAAACCCAAATATTTGGAAGTTTTCTCACTTTTGCTTTTTTATACTTAATTGGCAAGGCCTTCATATGTCTAACAAATGGAAACATCAAAATATCAAATCACATCACCTTCTAACCAAAATGTCACTAGTTTTTCATTTCATTTCTTAGAACATCGATAACATCCCATTTTCAAGACAAATTCCAATCTCAGTTAGACGATTTTAACAACAACCAATGAAATTAAAATAATAAAAAAAAATGAAATTGACAGAGATTGCAACATGACAAGAACTCTTCACTTTCTCTCCATGCCCGGATTCCATTGATCCCGAGTAACCAACTGTACACTGCTCAAAATATTACAGAATGGCCCTTAATTGCACACATCATGCGAGTTTTCGAGCTGTTTAAGGAGGCACGTACGAACTTAGAACTTTGGCCTGCCCCCCTTCATGAAATATACTTAGTTAAACTTAAAAGATTTGCTAGATAAGTCTACAGTTTTGTTAGATGTGTCTTTAAACATCTTGAAGCTTAATGCATTTAGCAATGCTCTTGAATACTGGCGAGAAGCCATTTTCCAATCTCCTCCTGTCTTCATCATTGCCTTAAACTCCTCAAAACTGATTCGACCGTCCTTTTACCAAAACAAAACCAAACAGTTTTGTTAGATTTAAACACTCAAGAAAATGTAACATTTAGAAACCAAGGTTTAAGCAACTAAAGATTATTAGGATATACTTCTCAAGAAATACTTCTAAAAGAGAAAAATAGGATAGAAAAATAAAATAATTTTTCAGTAAATTAAAATTAGTCTATACATAAAGCAATTTATAAAACTTTATTTTATTAGTTTCTTCATAATTTTATTTAACTTATACTTAAGTTAAATTTATTTAAACTTTTATTCCTATTTTTTTTTTCGAAAGTGTTTCTGCATAAGTTTATCTAAATGTCTTCGAGTAAGAAGAGTTTTACTTCTTACCTTGTCCAAGTCAACGTCATTTAGAATGTCTTTGATCACTTGGTCGTTACTGGCTTCCGAGTCATCATCTGATAAGGCATCTTTCAACTCCTCAAACTCAACATATCCACTCTGGTTCTTGTCAAAGTAACGGAATGCTTCAGAGAGATGCTCATCGCTTTCGATCTTTCTCAGATGAACATTCATTGTGATGAACTCTTCATAATTGAGGGTGCCGTTTCCATCAATATCCGCCTGTTGTCACAACAATATAGAAAAGGTTCAAAAAATTTGTTAAGGTTATTATGAAATTTGAAATGGTTCTTATGTTTCTCTTTTTACTTATACGATTAGGGTGCATATGTCATAATGTTCAAATTTTGGTTCTGTTATTATATGTTCTACTGATAAAATATATATATATATATCCCACATTTGCATGCATGCATGAATGCCCTTTTAATTTAGCATGTAAGGAACTTACAGCATCCATTAACATTTGGACATCAGTATCAGGAAGGGCGTGTCCAATCATTGAAAGGCCATCTTTGAGCTCGTCAAATGACAAGTTTCCATTTTTGTCCTTATCCATCATATCGAACATTTTCTTAATCACATCAATTTGCTCATCTGGTAGGTTATCAGCTACCACCTGAAGAGAGAACCCATTCAGAAACAACGTAGGTAGCAAATATTCCTTACCTATAATTTGAAAAAAAAAGGTATTCTGAAACTTACTCTAAGAACCTTCTTTTTGAATCTGTTCATCAAGGAGAATTGCTTGATCCTCATCCTCACTTGGTCTCCAAGAGAAATAGTTCGACCATGCTCCCTATGTTGTATCCAGGAATGATCTTTGAACAAAAGAGATAATTATCAGTACAGATTTTCCTTGTAATCATATTACTATCTTAAATTGCCTAGCCAAATTTCTCCGACATATATGTACGTAACAACTAACAATATATATAT